CGAGCGAGCCGTGGCGACCAGGATATTGTGGAATGTGGAGGACATGCTGAGAGTTGTAAATAAAGCGGTGTTCAAAAAAAGACAGAAGTTGTCCGAGCGAAATCGAACACTACAGATGTATTTAAATATGTACATACAATACTGCATTTCTAAGTGTATGCGTCTAGATTTGTGCGAGAGTATTCTTTTTCACCGTATATTTAAGTAATCAGGTGCAAATACATAATGCGTAATCAAACTTTGAAGATGCACATGATGAGTACTGTTCTGCAGAACATAACCTTTTCTTCCATATTTTAATGGTTTAATATTGCGTCAGAGTTTACTTCATTTAGTGGGTGCCCACACTTCAATATCCATATGTATGGGTATCACGGTCCAGCCATTCAAATGTTGGCACCGAGTCATACAAAACAAAGAAATGAATGTGTAACAAATGAGAGAGCAAAGGATTAGAGAATGTCTGAGCAGGAAACGTAGTGCCCAAGCGTTACTTGTCCATACATTATGCGCAATCGATCATGGAATCAAAGAAATGAATGTGTAACAAATGAGAGCAAAGGGTTAGAGGATGTCTGAGCAGGAAACGTGGAGGCTAAGCGTTGCTTGTCCATGCATTATTCGCAATGAATCATGGAATCAGCGAGGTACACGTATGGGTGTTGTCTCCAAAAGCCGTGTGTATCTCACACCACAAGAGTGGGGCGGCACAGTGGCGAGACGTTAACTCCCTCGCCGGGTGTGCAGGAGGTCGTGGGTTCGATCCCGACCCTGACGCATGTATATTTGGAGTTTGGATGTTCTCCCCATGGTCGCGTGGATTTTTCTCCGAGTCCTCTGGTGTTTCCCTCCACATTTTGAAACATGCGTTTTTGAGCTATCATTTGTGGCCAGTTTTGCTTCTTAACGCCTTTTGGCGTCATCTGGTCCAACACCAGTGGAGACTAGGCTCTAAGAAAAACTGTCTCGGGTGTGGACCAATCAAATTCAAGGACAGTGCATATCATTATCAGGGTTGTCTCTTTTTATTTGCATTTTTGACTGCTTGTGTTGTGGTTATTGCAAACATGATCCCTTGTATAAAGGTGTCAGTTTTTGTGCCAGCTAAAAGGGTAGAAACCCATTACTATGACTCTTCCACTTATTGAGCGTCTTTAACATGTCGACACCTCCCCACTCGGCACTTGATTGTATATTTGCACGGAATTAATGTAGGTTTTGAATGCTTCTTTTGTATTCAAATGCTCTACATATAATAACCACCGCAAGCGAATAATAAACTGCAGAAAAAAAACTGCTGGAAATCGCTTGGAATTATGCGAGCATTTTTAGTATATATTTATGTTGAACCTATTTCGCATCGTACGTAGCCAACCATGCTAATTGTAGTAAATGTGCGATTTAAAGTTGCTCGTAAAATTGTATTACAAATATAAACAACATCGCACGCTCAAGAATGTATTCTTACACATTAGGTTTTGTGAGCAGTGGAAAACAATCTGCATGGTACCTTCAACTTAAAAAAAAGCGTTAAGAATGTTATATTTTGATGGCTCGGATAATGTTTCACAGATTAGGCACAACCATGACATCTGGCAATCCTACGGCTAACGGAACGAGATGTAGTTCTCTTCTGGGCACAACAACGAGCACCCAGGTGGTGGGTAGCGATGTGGCTTTTAAAATCAACGACTTGGCCAAACGTTGGGAGACGACGCTGCTGCTGTGCGAATTACATGTCGAAAAAGAGCAGCGATCAATAAATTGATCTTTCCTTCTTATAGGCACAGTGCACGTCAGTTGGTTCAATATCACGTACACGTCATTGTCGTGTATATTTTGGGGTGTGCGTTTGCTCACTCGTGTACAACAGACACGTGGTCACTCTTGAGTGTTGCGGGTGTCCGGTTGTGTGTGTTCCAATAACAAGAGACACCATGATATACAAAATCATGGTATGTTTGGGTGCTTTATCTTGTCCCTTCAACAAGGTTATCGACAAAAGCTGATGACGCAGTCGCGCGAGATCAGAGTAGGCTTGGCACTGAGTCAGTAGCCAGGTATTTGCACAGATGTAATACAATTATACTGCTACAGTATATAATGTCTTTTTCCCATTAACAAGTGAAAAGTGGACTTCATCATCATCTAACTATAATGGATCAAGTGTGAGTTTGAGCGTATAACATTTTCGAATATAGATTTATTTTTTAACGTGTTTTGAACGTATTTGGGAAACATTACAGGCGGTCTCCGATTTACGACGGTCCCATTTACGGTGCACATTTTCGACGTTAATATAACGCCACCATGGATCGATTTACGACACAGAAACTGAATTTACGATGCATCTTCCGACATGACTCCCAACACATTTGAACAGCGATGTTTCTACTGTGAAACGTCGTACAAAGTGAGTGAGTTTTTTTTTTCAAAAGGAAGGAAGAAGACAAGGTAAGAAATTGTTTTTGTTAATATAAATTGCTTTGTGTCAATTTTGGCAAAAAATGTATGTTCAGTACTTGCTGTACACTTAACACTGTTGTCCTATGAATTCATAGCGCTAAGGGACTGTTATCTAACACGGAAAAGCATTCAGAATGGTTCATGATTTGTTTACATACGACTAAATGCCACATTTCTAGCCTTTTTGTGAAAATTTTGATTTCTAGCCCGCTTTTGGAGTCACCGTAAACAAGTGCCAAGGACAAACACTGGACGTAGACAACTGGAATCTTTCTCCCTTACGGAGTGTTTAGTCACGGCCAATATTACATGGCAAACTCACGCGTTGGATCCAGCAAAACCATCACGATTCTGGCTCAGAAGGCTTCGTATCCGGAAAATACACGGATGTGGTCTTTTAAGATATTATTATTATTACGGTTTTAAATAAATAAATACGTATTCCTGAATGTTCTTGTCTATCCATGTCTCACTTAGAGGAGTTTTGATTTTACTATTGCATGTGTAATGACAGAGTGACACCTGCTGGCCGGGAAAGGGAATCACGGGTATGGGCACGGTTAAAGTAACAACCAATCAAAGAAGGAGAGGTATCTGGGGCAAAGGTAACAGGTGGGATTAGCCGAGATACTCCGGGAACCCGCTCGGAGGTTCCACGAGAGGGCGTGGCCGGAGGCGGGGCTTAGCCACGCCTGGGGGGATATAAGGGGGAGCGGACCCGGGGCTCGGAGCTCGTGTGTGGGGTCCTGGGTCCCGGCTGCGTCGCTGCTCGCCGACATCTCTCTCCGTCGTCCGGCCACGTGGAAGATCTCCTGCGGGGTTTCCATCGCCGTCATCGTCACGCCGCCAGCCAGCGGCGTGGCCGAGTGAGGCCGGTGGGACCACACCGAGTGATCGGCTGTGTGTAGCCAGTAGAGACGTTAATATCTAAGTGTTGTACTCAGTGTGAGAAGAATAAGTATTGGCCTGTGTTGTGCCCAGTGTAAGAAACTAAAGGACAAGTACCCTCTACACGACGTGTCGAGGAAGTCGCTCATTACACGTGTAAGTTTAGAATTAAAGCCTATAAGCCCCCAAGCCCTCCACAGGACCTAGGAGATAAATGTCCACAGGGCCCGAAATCTTGTAGTCTATCAAATACAGGCGTCTCTCGATTAACGATCGAGATACGTTCTGCGAAAATTTGCTCCTTAAGCGAAAATTCGTTAAACGATCATCGTTGTCCCATTGACTCCAATATTAACAGCGGAGTTACATTTCAGACCCAAAATATTCCACTCTTGAACGACTTTCTTAACGTGAGAAATGCACATTAATAATTTTAAAAATAAAGGAATAAAACATCAAATGTAACGCCGAACATGAAAACCGCAGCGCTTGCAGGTGCCTGTCCTCAGTGTCTACAATTAATTAATGCAGCCTCCCCACCCGCCCATTATAGTGCCCCCCCCCCCTCTCCCAGATACGGCGAATCAAACACGCGCACACGCAGCACAGCCCAGCTAATAAACAAACAGCTGTGAGCCACGGTGCTTCCCCTGCCGCCACGGAACGCATTCGATGGATCGGTCCTCCGCTCGTTACGCGAACATTTGCTCGTTTTGCGAACAAATTGGTCTGCATTCAAATGTCTCGTGATGGCGAATTCTCGTCGAAAGAACTCTCGTTAAGTTCGAAACTCCCGTAATCAAATAGCTACCAGGCACCATTCGATAGTTGGCTACCCCCAACTGTTGTTAAAATATGCTCATTATTATACACGCTGTACATGAACGTGAATTGTTTTATGGAATCAGTTATGGATGCACATGCTTCGCCTTTTTATCGAGATGAAATGTATTTGCACTACAGATGTTAGCGCTGTACATGAACGTGAATTGTTTTATGGAATCAGTTATGGATGCACATGCTTCGCTTTTTATCGAGATGAAATGTATTTGCACTACAGATGTTAGCGCTGTACATGAACGTGAATTGTTTTATGGAATCAGTTATGGATGCACATGCTTCGCCTTTTATCGAGATGAAATGTATTTGCACTACAGATGTTAGCGCTGCGCACATCTGCACGGGATACACGGCCGGTGTGGAGGGTGGGTGAGGCGTGACCGTCGGCACGCACGAAGCCGGCCTCGACGGTGTGGGAATGCGGGTGGCATCGTCGCGCGCATGTGTGCAGGGGCACTCGTCGAAGGCGCCCTTTCACGCACGACTCCGCTCGCCAGACGGCCAGCTAAGTCCGCCAGGAAATCCAGCCGCATCTCCTAAACGTCGTGTACATAACGAGCGGTGCTCCTCGTTGATGTTGATGTCACGCAGACTGCTCGTCTATGGAATCCGGATAACGTAGGTACCCGTCTTTCAGATTTAGATGTCGACAAGGGTGCATGACTTTAATATTTAGTACGTGCTGAGTGTTGGAATAATCAACATTATGCAGGGGTGACCGTGATCGAGATACTCACCTTTGTACAAAAGAGATAACATTAATGGTATTCCCTTTTGACATTTCGACGGGCAATCTCGCCACTCACCTTTGAAATTAAAACGACGGAGGGAAGGGGAGGGAAGCAAGGTCGCCCCCAGCGCGTGCGTGGTGAAACTTGTGACCCAATTCGCGCGCACGGAAATAAATGTGCATGCAGCGCCCAGCCGAATCATCATCCCCTCCTCCTCCTCCCATTGCCACCCGCCGCCTCGCAGCTGCTCGTATATTAACCCGGGCACCACGGCACACGCCGCATTGTTCCCGTGCACGGCAGGTGCGAGTGAGCCTTTTGCTCCTGTGAATCCTCTCTCTCGCTTTCTGTGTGTGTGTATCTGTCTGTACGTGAGTCGGCTCACGCATCGCGACTAAAAATTTCATCAACGTTTCCGACAGACGCGGCCGCATTGTGCTGGGAGGCCAATGTTGTTTTTTGGTTGTTTTTAAATAAAGGTAAGTGCGTGCGTTAGTTACGCGGGTGTCGATCGCAATCGTTCCTGTGCGATTTGTAATTATGCGATAGGGCATGGTTTTAGTTTAATGCATTAGTCAATTAGTTTCGTTTTAAGTCGATGCGTTGTTATTATTATCCATCGCATTCTCGAGTGGAGAGCAGTATCGCGTGAACGCAAGGCTCTGCGCGTCTGTTACAAAATGCATGCGTTCCGGAGTGTAGACGCTATTAATGAATGGGCGCGCACATTTAATGAGGTGTCGTGTGTGCATTTTACATTTCCTTGGAGAGATCGTTAAAAGAAAGTACGTGCCAATTTACATCTGAAGTCAATGCCGTTGTGAGCATCAGATTCCAAACGCTCGTCAAATTAATTTGGTCAAACATGCAAAGACCCTCTTGCAAAAAAAGGGATGTTGATATGAAACGATCCATTGGCTCTTCTTGGGAAAACAATGAGACACCAAATATATCTTGCTCGCCTGTGAGATTGAGAGAGAGTAAAAGAGTGGTGCTCATCTTTAAGATTAACTTTTTTTATTTATTGCATAGACTTGCTTTTGCGAATGAATGCCCACTTCTAATTTAAATGTCAGTCCCCATTGGAGTACCCATTTGAAAGTAATAGAACCCGAATTGCGGCTATAAGCCGATACATGAGTATCAGATTCCAAACATTAATTGGAATTGCCCAAACATCCCAACAGAGGACCGATCTGGTAATAACTGATGCTTTCGATAAACAAAAGGGCATTGTTATTATTATACGGCATAGCAATAACGTGCACAACTTTTATTGACAAAAATTGTGACAAAAAAATCTTAACTTTACGCATTCACCCGCGGTAAACATCGTATCGCATATGCTCGCTCCAATGGTTCTCATTGAACAATGCGTTAAAGACATAGCAGCAGGACTGGCCGGACATGCCAGATGTTTACGAGTTAAGACGCGACAATTTAGACTGGGGTTAAACAACGCGGATGACGATCGTGCAAGGAAACAATCTCGATACGAGCCACGGTGGATTGCTATTATGATTACGATGATTATTGATTGCTCAAATGTCGTGGGGCACTGCCCATCCGTGCGGTCCGCAACAACAAAAGAATGACGCGAGCGTAGATTTAATTCCTCGCAGGCCAGAATAATGGACTTCAAGACACATGGCGATATTTTCAATCACGCCCAGATCATGTTTGGTGGGTATATATATATTTTTAAAAACCTTCATCATGATCAATAAGATTATTCATCTTGGTCACTGAGAAAATCTATCTATGAAAAATAAGAATAGGTGTTTTACCCTTTCGGACAATGAAACAGGTGTTAAGATGAGAATGGGTGTTCCCCTTTATTCTGGCAACAAAACATGTGTTAAGATGTTAAGACACCAAACTAAAACCTTTTGGCGTCTTCTGGTCTAACGCCGTTTTGAGACGAGGCTCAAAAGAAAGCTGTCTCTGGTGTGGACCAATCAGTTTCAAAGACAATGCATCATATTATCAGAGTATGTTTTTAGTTTGCATTCTGACCACAAGTATTGAGGTTAATGCAGACATGATTCCTTGTAAAATGTTTCAGTTTGGTGTTTTGACATCTTAACACAGCTGATTTGTTGCCAGAAAAAAAGGGTAAAACCTATTCTCATATTTTGGTACTGGCAAAGGAGGTCCAATGATGAGGTGTTAAGATGTTTAGACACCAAATCGATACCTTTTTCCAGGAATTGAGTCTTCATTAACCACACGTACTTGTGATGAACATGCAAACAAACATGCTCTGATAATTATATATGGCATTCCCTTGGAAACCGATTGGCCTACACCAGAGACATCCTCCCTATTTGGTGTTTGAACATCTCAACACAGCTGTTTTATTGCCAAAAAAAAAGGTTTAAAACCTATTCTAATTTTTCATACCTTGATCCTGTAAAAAAAAAAGGCCCCATGATAAAATCCATCTTAGCTCCTGTACAGGAGCTGATCTCATTGGCTCCCGCTCTGTCTCCACGATGCTCCACCCTCTCGGGCGTCTTCCCTCCTCCAGCTGCCACGCCGTCGTCTCGATCACCGGCCACCATCCCTTCTGAGCGACGCTGGGTTTATTAACAATCATTATGATACGTGTCTCACGTGCGTTTGTTCTTTTCCTCTTTGCAGACCAATTGGTTTACGAGATAAATGTAGTTTCATCGGCGGTATTCAATTACAAAATTGCTCTTGTCGGTCGTAGTCAAAAACCCGACACCATGGTCGGAAGTCTTCATCCAGCAGTGGTTTTACAAAGGGCTGTAAATTGTTGTTGCACCTAGCTTAATACATTACTTAGTCATTTTATATATTAATACGAGCATTTTCACGAATTAATTAATATACACACGAGACGCTCGTGTTATCCCGAACTGTGTGGGTCCTGCAATGGTCTCTCTGTGGGTAAGTGTGTGTGTGTGAGTGCAAAAATGCAAGTGGTGCTCCAAAAAAAGCATCCACAACTTTTATTCCAGTTCGAGCCCAGACATTTGTCCACGTGCCTGGCTCAACATTGTCATTGCTGTGGAGCAACCCATGGGGCTTTTTAATTGTAAATCTATGTAACAAAGTGAAGACATCATCAGCAGCAGCAGTGCAATGACACAACCACCGAGCGATCTAGCAAACCAGTTGGGTTCATTGCTGCATCTGCAAAGCCAACTACCTCTGGGGCTCGTTTCTACTTTTGACCTCTGTTCCGTTGTCACAAATATGACTAAGTTACAATATTAGTAGGGCATACTGCATTTGTGCTTTGATCAACATGACGTGATCAAGATTTTTAGTAGTACCCAAGTCACTCTTTGCTCAATCACGATTTGTCAATCATCGTTTCGACGGCCCTTAGCCAATAGGCAGAAGATTCCTATGGCAGAGATAAGTCCATGGGCGATAGGGCCACCTGATGCCACAAACGGCGCATCAAAGATTCGGCGACCTGGGAGTGCGGCCACGAATCGCAAACCATCGACCCGCATTGTAAACACTCCGCTGTCTTCACTAACTTTAAAGGAGGAGTGGACGGGATCCACTCTGCGTCTGAACAGACAATTGAGTGGATACCAAATCTAAAATTGCATCTTTAATCTGCTGCTATTAATCCATATGAAAGAAGAAGTCCATGCATTGGACAACCGCTGTTGGCATCACATCACGTGTCACAGCATCACACCACGTGTCACAGCGTCACATTACGTGTTACAGCATCACATCACGTGTCACAGCATCACATCACGTGTCACAGCATCACATCACGTGTCACAGCATCACATCAAGTGTCACAGCATCACATCAAGTGTCACAGCATCACATCACGTGTCACAGCGTCACATCACGTGTTACAGCGTCACATCACGTGTTACAGCGTCACATCACGTGTCACAGCATCACATCACGTGTCACAGCGTCACATCAAGTGTCACAGCGTCACATCACGTGTTACAGCGTCACATCACGTGTCACAGCGTCACATCACGTGTGACAGCATCACATCACGTGTCACAGCGTCACATCACGTGTCACAGCATCACACCACGTGTCACAGCGTCACATCACGTGTCACAGCGTCACATCACGTGTCACAGCGTCACATCACGTGTCACAGCGTCACATCACGTGTCACAGCGTCACATCACGTGTCACAGCGTCACATCACGTGTCACAGCGTCACATCACGTGTTACAGCATCACCAAATAAGACTCTAATTTTACCGACCCTAGAAGAGGGAGGATGGATATGGCGATGAGGCTGGATGGACCTTGTTCAGGATTTGAAGTTAACTTCTATAAGAGTGAGCTGTATCCAGGCCCGCGTATTATGTCAAGTAATACGTGAGCACTTCAGAGTATTCGGATTTATGACAGTGTTTCCTTTAGGCCACTTTCCCGATTGAAATTGCTGCAATTGCGTTTAGCAGACATTAGCCACGCAAATGGGCACTTTCCGCTTCCAATCGCCGATTTTTATTTTCCAACTGCGCATTTAATGGATGCTTTTCACACCGCGAATATTTATAGTACGTACTGTACGCACATCGCTTTGTCAATCCGCTGCTGAATGAATGCTCCCACATCGCTTTTGGTCACGGAGGTTTATTTAGCCATACTTCACCACGCCCGCCCGGTCAATGAGGACAATAAAATCAACGGCAAAAAAAAAATACGTCAGGTCACGATAGGAATGCGATCAAGAATGTGTAACACAAAGCAGGGTAAGAGTGTAGGAAAAGCAGATCGATTGTGCAGCACAACGTTGGCCAATTCAGATTGCCATGTAGAGACAACACCATGCCAAAGAAATCCCTGACAGATTCGGGGCAGGGTAAAACCGAGGTAAAAGACACGACCCGCCTTTGAGTGCGAGCTCTTACGGCATTGAAATCGGAGCAGAGCTCGGTTGTTGAGAGTGCAAGGATCGCAGGGAGGAGGAGGAGGAGTGTGAGGCGACAAACGAGAGAGGATGGACGCAACATTTTACACGAGACACCGATACACTACGTGTCCGGTGAGGGTAATGTTCTCCTGCGCAGGTGTGTACGCGTGCACATGCGGAGCGAAACATTGGACATCGTGCCGATGAATGCGCGACATAACGCGAAAGCACGTCCGAACGATGGCGCTGTGCTTGTCAGCCTTCACGAGTTAGCGCTTATAAGTGACAGCTTCAACGACGCCTATGGAAGATAATAATAATAATAACGTACCATTCGTAATTGCTGCTCTCGACGAAGCTTTGGGATGTTGGGCATCTGCAGCTCCGGATGAAGATTTTGTAGGCCCCTGGGCTACAGGTCCTGCGAGGCCCCCAGTAATATTTTCAAAAGGAAAACAAAGTTAAATAAAAAAAGATATATATTTTTACGAGGCTAACAACAAATAAAATTCAGCTTTCACAAATGGAATAACTTTTCACTTCATCTCTGGAGGCCCTCCAGCTGACGGAGGCCCCTGGCCTGCAGCCCCTGAAGCCCCCGTGCCTTAAGCTGGCCCTGGGCATCGGTGGCTGCAGGGACAAAGACACCGGGTCCACGAAGGGGAAGTGGATTTAGACAAGGGGGCCTTATTTACATTCTCTATATCACTCCTTGCACCGGGTCCCATGCCCACCACGCCCGCGTCGCTCACTACGCGTGGTCTCCTGCAAGCATTGTGTTCCCCGCACCGCCGATCAGCATGGTTGGCGACGTACGGTTGCGAAATAAGTTCGACATATATACATACACGTGTGATGAACCTTATCGAAACAAGGCGAGCGCAAATATCTTCAGTCCAGCGTGACAAATTATGGAAGAGCGTAGCTGCTTCCATTTTTCCCATTGCTGGAATGCGCCACTTATTTTTAGCTGTTTAAAATTCCTTGGTGGTGGCCATGAGCAACCAATGTTTGAGTTACGTCTAATCAATTCCCACCTGCTTGTTATTTGCGTAACGCCTTCGGTTGTGGACATGAATGCGTTTCGTCCCGTTTATTAGTTTGTCGCAAGAGAAACTGATCCGTTACCAATGCTCGCAGAGATCAGCATGTGTCATTCTGTTCACTTTAAGAACCTGCGTTAAAGAATGCGCCAGATTCATTGTGATTGAGGCGCTTGCGAGTTGCCGCACATTGCCAACTTTGCCCTGTATTGATTCCAATTCTGTCGGATGTGCCGAATTTGAGCGCGCAATCTTTCCCGCATTAGGAGTGCGTGCATCAACGACCGTTTTAATGAAATCTGGACAAGGTGCTAAAAATACGCAGTCACCTAAAGGGAGAGAGAGAAAAAAACACGCAGACCCGTTCATTTTAATTTTGTAAATTAGTGCATCACATAGCTTTGTTTATCACCCCGTTCTATGTAGCCGGTCACCTGAGTTCGATTTCTAGCTACAGCTAACATAAGTGGCGAGTAATATCTGTACCGGTCCCCTCGGTCTCTTATAAAGTACCGGCTGCATTGCGTTAAACATGAGCGTTGGGCAGGCAAAAGGCATCCAGATGCAAGGCTGACCACAGCAACTTCTCGTGCGTCATTCACTACTGAGTGGATTTCTCTCGAACAACGCTTGCTCCCAGCAGTCTATAAAAGCGATCTGGGTGATCTTTTTTCCTTTTTTGTTACACGTGTGTCCATGTGTGCGCGTCAATAGGTACAAGGTTGAATCGCTTGCTATCCTGTAATTTAGCACGGACAGTCGCCTCAAATGATTCACAGACGTTACAAACGTTCCTTACTTTGCCTGTGCCCTCTGTGGCAATTACGCGATAACTGAGCGACGTGTTTAGGAACACACGCAAAATGCAATGTGCAGTTGAGACTGTTCTGTTACTTCTCTGGATGCGCCTTTACACTCTAATGCGATCGGTTCGTGGTTTGCGGTGCTCCTGTGTGTATAAAAGGCAGGGCGTTCTACAATATATTTGTTTATCCCTTCTGTTGGTTACAGCACAAGGGTCAATCAAGGAAGAGGCTTCGGCACATCCCTGCAAAGAAATACCCGAGGGAGATTTTTGTTTCGAAAAAAAAATTCATTTATCTCAATGAGAGTGCTATTTTGAAAAAGGGTAACATTCTGTGGCCATATTAATAACGATTTTTTTGAAAGTTTGCACATTATCGTCAAGTACTACATATGGATTGAAAGCTAAATATTAATTTTAAATACTCCGATGAATTATCAACACGTCAATGTGCTCGCTGCAACCGCGCCATATGATATATCAGATGACAGCAGACGGCACAGAAAATAGATCGTGTTAATCTCAAAAGAGAGCCTCACCACGCGTCTGGGCCAAACGTGGCATCGCAGAAGAGAAACGGGCGACCATGGCTCAAGTTCCCAACCTGTCGGACCCAGACGTGAACATCAGCAAAGTGGCGATGAACGCCACGCAGCAGCTAGAAGGGCAGCAAAACTTCTACGTGGTCGTCCCCATCATCTACTCGTTCATTTGCGCCGTGGGCCTCCTGGGCAACACGGCCGTCATCTACGTGATTCTGCGCGCGCCCAAGATGAGGACGGTGACCAACATGTTCATTCTCAACCTGGCCATCGCCGACGAGCTCTTCACCCTGGTGCTGCCCATCAACATCGCCGACCACCTGCTCCTCGAGTGGCCCTTCGGGCAGGCGATGTGCAAGCTCATCGTCGCCATCGACCACTACAACATGTTCACGAGCATCTACTTCCTGACCGTGATGAGCATCGACCGCTACCTCGTGGTGCTCGCCACGGTCAAGTCGCGCTCGTTCACGTGGCGCACCTACGCCGTGGCCAAGTGGGTGTGCGGCGGCGTCTGGGCGCTCGTGAGCCTCGTGGTGTTGCCCTTCGTGGTGTTCGCCAGCAACGGCATCGTCGACTCGCAGCGGCACACGCGCTGCGGCCTGGAGCTGCCCAGCCCCGAGGCGGAGTGGCTGCGTGCCGTGCGCACCTACACGCTCATCGCAGGCTTCGTGCTCCCCGTCACCACCATCTGCACGCTCTACACGTCCATGCTGCGGCAGCTCAGGGGCCTCCGCTTGAGCTCCAACAACGCGCGCGCCCTCGACAAGGCAAAGCGCAAGGTGACACTGATGGTGGCCGTGGTGCTGGGCGTGTGCCTGCTCTGCTGGACTCCCTACCACCTGAGCACCGTCGTGGCGCTGACGGTGGACCTCAACGAGACGCCCATGGTCATCGCCGTCTCGTACTTCATCATCAGCCTGAGCTACACAAACAGCTGCCTCAACCCGCTGCTGTACGCGTTCCTAGACGAAAGCTTTCGCCGGAGCTTTCTCAAGCTCCTCGAGTGCAAGGCTGGCTGACGAGGTGCAACGAGGTTTATCTGCAACTGTGAGTGTTTTGAAGGGGGTTGGATGGGGGGTGGAGACAAGACGGAGGTGATTGTGGAGCTATTGACCAGCAGAATGCAAGACAGACTGTTCATCCTTGAAGCTGCACTGTCAAACGGGTGATTGAAAGAAGGTAAAATGCTGTCCCAATGCGTAATTTCCACTACATGTTAATCAACACTTACATTGCATACGTTGCTTTTAAATGCCCAACACTTTAAACATCAATTCGGTGCTGACACAAGTGATTATGGCAGTTTGTTAGTCGCGGTTAGGTTCGCATTTGCCCCCAAAAAAGTGGAGATGGCTACGATCTCACCTTAACTTTTTTGTATTATCGCTCACTGTCAGCTTAGGTATTCTCGCGCTCTTCCAAAAGGGCCACCACCCACGATGATAATTGGTCTCTTGCGATGTATTCACCAATGGCAAAGGGTCACCAACTCTGCATGCTTGCCTGTTGTGGACACGACCTGGGAGTAAGACGGTCAGCTGTGTATGTGTGTGCCGAGCGAGCAAAATCACCGATTTAATCAAAGCACCGTGTGAGCTGTACAGGGAGTGTGAGACGCCACGTGGAAGACGAGCGTTTGAATTGCTAACTCCTCTGATGATAGCTAAATACGCCTGCTATGTTGTGGCTTTAGTTATTGACAATATGTACTCCTCAAATTGTTCATGGACCGTGTCATTTGAAAAATCTCTTGGAAACCCCATCACGCGTTAACCGGTCCCTTTTTATGTTTGTGCTGCCATCTCTTTAGGTGACAGTGAGATGTCGGCTAGCCTCAACAAAACCTGGCCTGCATTCCTCCCTTTTCCAGAGCTTAGCAGCGCAACAAGGCTAAAAGTCAACAGCCGGGATGGGTCATTTACAGGAATTAGTGGTGGATTTAAGATTGTAAATGAGCAAGTGACAAATCATTAAAACTGTTCCTCAAATTCATGAATAAATCTTGACTTAAAGCTTTCGTGACTGCAGTCATTCATACACTTTGGGTCTTTCGGTAAAGTCGCGTAGATAGAAAAAAAAATCGCGGCGTTTTGATCGCAACACAAGCAATCGTCTTCAGGTGAAAAAAAAATGCAGCAGGCAGACTGCCGAGGCAGGAAGAAATTTAGCGAGAGTGACTGCAGCCATTGGTTATCAAGGTTTGAGATGGGCACAACCCAAGGGTAAGTGGGCGGGGCTAGAGATGGAATTTGCAAGTAAATGTAAGATCGCAGAGCTAGCTATACCTCGGCCATTGCATAGGCAGGTAGGATGGAAGCCAGTTATTTCCGACTCTCTGAGTTACATTACCTTGTTAAATGTCTTCACATGAACAGGCTAAATGTCTCACTAACATAACCGCTGCTCCCTTTCCCTCGATGCGGCGGTGGCGCTCGTTGTTTAATAGGCTGAATCAAGGCCATAGCCATGGAGTCAACATTGGGTGGAGGACCAAATCTTCCAGGGGGTCTGCCCCCCCCCCAGAAAAAAAATCTAAATTTGAAAACGAATTTCGTGCCGTTTCATGCCTAAAATATAAAAAAATTCACTAATACATGGGATGGACTTTTTATTTAATTTTTACAATAATGTCTACTAGTGTTATTGTATTACATTGCTCTGTTTTTTTCTTTTTTACCTTTCTTGTTTCATTGTATGTAATGGCAGAGATTAGGGATTAATAAAGTACAACCATAACCACAATCATATAAACAAATCTATTTTATAGCAATATATGGGGGGGACATTTTTTGCATATTTAAATATTATAATTACGGCCTTGGGCTGAATGTCTCTCATTAACACAGCCGCTGCTGTGGGAACCGTCTCACATTGGCATTCTAATCTCTAATCTCGAGCAATACAATGGCTTCTTCAGCACCGTAGCCGTGGGGTTACATTAACACATTGACATGCTCATCTCTAGCAATACAATGGCCGAGGTATAGCTCTGCGATATTACATTTACTTGCAAATTCCATCTCTAGCCCCGCTAACTTACCCTGGGGTTGTATCCACCTCAAGCCTTGAAAACCTATAGCTGCAGTAGCCCTCTCGCTATATTTCTTCCTGCCTCAGCAGTCCACCTGCTGTATTTTTTCACCTGAAGACGATTGCTTGTGTTGCGATCGAAACGTCATGATTTTAATTATGATTAATTCTCTATCTACGTGACTTTACCGAAAGACCCAAAGAGTATTAATGAATACAGTGTGGACACTTTGGTGAGCAATGGTTGTCACCTCTGGGGTACAACTTTCCTCTCCCGGAAAGCCATGAGAATGTTTCACGGAACGGCGAGAATGGAGAACTACACGCATCATCTTGCGCGGCGTATTAAAACTTCCATATGTCACAGGGCAGCCCCTTTAAAAGGACGGCATGGGAAAATCAGGACAGGTGGCAACCCTGTGGTGAATCCGATGACCAAACTAATACAATCACGTGTTCATCTTCATCGATGCGAATGTGCACTACTGATCTATTTCACTTTAGCTCTTGGAAAGCTGTTAAATAAAACCTTTGAAAGCTTGTGCAGCAAAGGTTAATTCGTGCTCATGGACTCTACTGCTTCATAACTCAGTGGGTTCACTCTGGGTTTGGTTGTTTTTTCTCCACTCATAGATTTTTTTTTAGTGCTGCTATGAAACACTGCGTGTGAGCTACTGATCACACAAGAGCACTTTGCTGTACAGAAGATGTACAGAATCCTCTGTTCCTGTAAAACATGCTCTCTACATCGCTCTTCAACCCACTGAATTATCAATAACCGAGGTACCTTTGCGCATGACCGTGTATTATGGCTCCTTTGATGGTTTCTCCAGCACAGTGTTCTCCGCTAATTTTCAGAGGCGGGCCACTTTCGCCGATGAGACATCATCAGTGCGAGGTGCCGCCACACCGCCTGCAAGGGGTTGCTTTCACATCTCGTGTATTGTCGAGGGCCGTACGTCAAGGGCCGCACGAAAGGCCACCAGGAGGCGCACTAAAGGCCACCAGGGGCCGCACTAAAGGCCACCAGGGGCCGCACTAAAGGCCACCAGGGTCCGCACTAAAAGGCCACCAGGGGCCTCCAGTGGCCCGCGGGCCTTGCAATGCAGAAAACCACTCGAGCATGTCGCTTTGTGAGTGACGTCATGTGTCACCCAAAAGCGAGTTTTGCTTGGATGTTTTGCTCAAATCCGGATGCCGTTTCTGGGAGACATTTCAGTAGCTCCTGACCATGTGATTGTTTCCACTCACAATGTAGGATGTCAAGGAAGTGTTTTACAAATACTACACATACTGTATACTTAATTTCACTGATTGTTGTGAATCTTGAGCTGTATCGTCACCATGGTGTTTGCCTGCTTACAATAGACACTTGTTCAGCCCTGAGGCTTGTGCTTGATTACTATATAAAAAAAGAATACTGGAATCATTTTCCTGGCCATCACCATCATCGTTTTATCATTCATACCATGCCGACTTACTCTGGAAACATATTTCATCCGCATTATCAATGCAAAGTCCGAGTCATTTCCATCCCTTTGGCAATTAAGGAAATAACAAACGGGGGAAGGGATATATTTATTGTAATACTTTACACGGCACCTTTGCCAGTTGGGATACTTGTTGGCGTTGGTGGACACGTTTGCGTCGCCCCGGCGTATACTCCTGGCGTTACTTGAGGACACAATATGTACTCCCCAAATTGTTCATAGACCGTGTCATTTTTACGAAACACTTAGGAACACGGTCACATGTTAACCGGTTCCATTATGTCTATGCTGCCCTCTTCAGGCGACAGTGAGATGTAGGCTGGCCCAAATAGAAACCTGACCTGGCTTCCTCCCTTTAACGGAGCTAAACAGCAGCGCAACAAGGTTAAAAGCCAACAGTCGGCATGAGTCATTAACTAGAATTAATCTAGATTTGAAGTTTTCGTGACTGTGGAGATCCATACTCTTTGGTTCTTTCGGTAAAGTCACGTAGGTATACAACAAAATTAATGTTTTATACCTACGTGCCTTTACCGAAAGAACCAAAGAGTAACTGGAATTAGTGGTGGATATTAAAATCGTAATCGAGCAAGAGCCAAAATCGTAAGATCTGTAGCTCAAAGTCGAAACGCAGCTCGCTCCACACGCACAGATGTATTGCTCTCAAACGTAGAACCTCTGCGGTTCTGGAGATTGTGTCTTCAGGCCACGTGGCTGTTGGTGGCATCTACCGGACATCCGTGGAAAATAATGTCAGGGCTCACCGGAGTCTGCCATTCTAATTAGAGATTCTGATTTGTGATCTCAAAAAAGTGCATCAAAGGGAACCAGGGTGGCACCTGGATGAGTGGAATGAGTATGAGCGCATGCCTTAATATCCAGTTCTACGTTAGTGAGGTAGGAGTCGTTTTGCTGCGAGCAGGGCACTACATTACCGCACCCTTTGTTTAGCGACTGGATACTACTGCTATGTCGTGCTACAGTTCTGGACAGCGTTGTCAACTCCTTAAATTGTGTCGCTGGACCATTGACCGAGTATCACACAGAGTTAAACTTATACAGATCTTTACTTTACACCTGCAACATGTCCTTGTCCCAAACAACTCATACCTGTCAACCCCTTATCAGTGCCTACCTTATTACGGACAAATTCAGACCGTATTGGTCACTCCGTCCCTCATAAATCTCAAAGTTCATCCTACAAAGTACCATCACAAGGGAGAAATACGAACAAATAGACAACAAAACCATGTTTACCCGTATTGAAACGGCTGTAAGCCGCGAGGACCTGCAAACTCAACTTCGCTGTACTAGGCTACGAGTAATCCTTATTGGTTGAGGGGTTTGCAGACGAGATGTGACGCTCCCCCAGTAAAACATTGCGGTTGGAGCTTACTGATGAACCAACATTGGCCCAACGCTCGACGCTTGCTGAGTCGTCGTTTTGACACGAAAAAAATCATTTCGTGAGATAACACCGCCCCGGCCCTCCTCCAACCCCAACCTCAAAACAATTAGGCAGCTCTGGTTGCACTGTCGCTGAAGTTGGCCCACCGCAGGCAAAGCCATTTGATGGAAAATGTCTTCTTTGCGTCGTAGAGTCCCATTGCCACCTTGTGGATCAATCTGCACATTGCAAATCAATACACGCGGCTGCGCATTCGCAAATCAACTCGGCGTTCGAATGCTGAAAGCCTATTTACCTGTTGACGAGAGGCAGGGGCGGAGCCACAGGGGGGGCTGGGGGGCTCTGCCCCCCCTGAAATTTTGGGAAAGTCGGTAATCGGGATATCCGGCTGCTGCAAAATGCTGCAGGCTGCCACCTCGTGCTGCCCTGCAGGCTGCCACCTCGTGCGCTGCCCTGCAGGCTGCCACCTTGTGTGCTGCCCTACAGGCTGCCACCTCGTGCTGCCACCTCGTGTGCTGCCCTGCAGGCTGCCACCTTGTGTGCTGCCCTGCAGGCTGCCACCTTGCGCTGCCCTGCAGGCTGCCACCTTGTGTGCTGCCCTGCAGGCTGCCACCTCGTGTGCTGCCCTGCAGGCTGCCACCTCGTGTGCCGTCCTGCAGGCTACCACCTTGTGTGCTGCCCTGCAGGCTGCCACCTTGTGCTGCCCTGCAGGCTGCCACCTTGTGTGCTGCCCTGCAGGCTGCCACCTTGTGTGCTGCCCTGCAGGCTGCTTGAGCGGCAGCCTTTCGAACTTATCGAACTTATTAGCCACATCGGCAGCTCCGACCTATTAATAAACTCCGCTTTCAAATCCAATAAAATTTGTTTAATACATTTGTGGCGCCCATTGGAAAACATTACACTGGAAATCAGCCCCCCGCCCCCCCCCCCAAAGTCAAAATCCTGGCTCCGCCCCTGACGAGAGGACAAGTGTTTGCAATGTGACATCGGTCTCGATTCATTTGCAACAGCGCTCAGCCGCCTGTTAGGGAAGCAATACAGCAAGACGGTCACTCGCTCGCTGTCTGTATGAAGTCAAAATAGTTTTTTTGTTATATTTCACGCTTGGTCTCTCTCCTGACACATGCGGCTCCTCGTGTGTGGGAAATACCATTCGGTAAAGGGACTCACGTTCGCCAAAAAAAACACTCACTTCGAAGGGGGAAAAAATACACGTATATAATTAGTGACGTTTCAGCCAATAGCTCTCCTTCATAGCACATACAAAGGGCTACTTCCGGGAATGTCGCCGGTTATATTTCTCCTTAAAAGGCAGAGTTATTGACGAA